AAAAAAAAAAAACCTTACCACAAATATGGTTTCAGAAGCTTCAATTATTAAACCAATTTGAGACAAACAATAGTGATGGTACTGTTTGAATAGCAATACAAAAATTTTTTATTCATTTATATTTTATTTTTTTGTCTTTTGTTATATTTTTCCTGAAGAAGATTAAAATACTGCAAGAAGTAAAAGAAAGATTGAGCCTTGGATTTTTTTTTAAAGTAAACCTTCGTTGAATTCTGGGTGATCAACGATTAAATACAACGAAGGAAAGGGGAAAAGATAAGAAAAAAGTGATTGCCAGCGATATGATAGTGGTTAAAAAACATAATATATAATAATAATAATAATAATAATAATAATAATAATAATGGTATTAGTTATTGGTATTACTGTTATTATAATATCATTGATATAATAATAATAATAATAATAATAATAATAATAATAATGAAAAATAATAATAATAATAATAATAATAATAATAATAATATATAATAATAATAATAATAATAATAATAATAATAATAATAGGAAAAAAAAGAAGAACAAAAATGGTAATAATAATAATAATAATAACTCTTATCAAATTTTTATCGTTTTTTTATTTTTGTTCAATTGAGTATTGAAATTTTTTGGTCTACGTTGCTATCTGTTAGTTTGTACTGTCACCATTTGGTGGCGTCAGCAAAAATGACAAGAAGATAGTTGGATAGATCGAAGAGGAAAAGCAGAAAAGGAAAAAAAACTTTGCTTAAAACTTATTTTATGCTTTCTTCTTTTTTCTTTGCTCAAACTTTTAGCTTTTTTCTTTTATTACTTTATCTCTTTGCTACTTTTACTATCATTGCTTTTTTATCGTCAATTTTTTGTTCTTCTACTTCTGCTGCTGCTGCTGGTGCTGCTGTTATACTGGCGAAGTTGAAAGAAATAAAAAAAATTCTTCATCTGTTTTCAATCGACTACAAACTGATCTTCAGTACAGACATAGAAAACACAAATCACTATAAAATGCCCATTAAAACTAATTGATGAACCCTCTTAAAGGTTTTCCTGATTTTTGCCTCGTCTTTCTTCATTGGTTTTGTCTTCTTCTTTAACTTCTTCTTATCATTCCTCTCTTTCTTCTTCCTCTTCTTCTTCTTTCTCTTCTTATTTTTAGTTTTTATCTACT